TTAGAAATATGGAAAATAATCTCAGAAGGAAGGTCTAAGACACAAGAAGAAATGGTGGGGAAAGAAACTGGCAAACATGGATAAATCTAAACACTCATGATTTTTAAAAAAATTACCATGTCTCATCTGGAAAGTTAGAAAAAGAGAACTAAATTACAGAACAAGTAAACATGTAAATACAGAGACTGAGTTAAAGTGTTCTAAGATCCTTGTTTTCTTCTGGAGGAGGGAAGAAATATAAAATTTTTAAAGATTTTATTTATTTGACAGAGAGAGAGAACGAGAAAGCACAAGGAGGGGGAGCTGCAGGCATACGGAGAGGGAGAAGCAAGCTTCCCATGGAGCAGGGAGTCAGTCCAATGTGGGGCTCAATCCCAGGACTCTGGGATCATGACCTGAGCCAAAAACAGATGCTTAACTGAATGAGTCACCCAGGTGCCCCACAGAGGAGGGTAGAAATATTAATGTCTAAGGTACATGTATTAAAATAGAAAAGATAACTATTAAAAAGACTGGCACAGAGTTTAAAACTTCTCAAACAGTAGAAGGAAAAAATGTAGGGAAAAAAACCTCAACCCAAAAGGAGACAAGAGAGAAGTACAGAAAAACTGAGATGAACAAAAAGTGCAAAATAAGGCATTAGAAATAATTCAAATAAGTAGTACTTACAATAAATTAAATGGAATATAATTTACCTGTTAAAAGATAATCAAAAAGGGTTTAAAAAAGAAAATTAAACTATATGCTGTTTTGAAAAAGATACACCTAAAATATAAAGACAAAAAATGTTTGAAAAGACACAAAAGGATAAAGATAAGCCAGGAAATCACTAACCAGATAAAAAGGTAGATTAGTTATATAAATATCTAATAAAATACAGAAAGGCAACAATCTTATAGGGAAAAAGTAGATGACTACATAATGATAAAAGGTTCCATTCACTAGGAAGATAACATTTCTAAACTCACACTAATAAGCCCTCAAAATATATAGAAGAAAAATTAACAGAATTACAGAAGAAACTGAGAAATCTACTATAGTGGGTAAATATAATACAACTGTGTCAGTAACTGATAAATTAACTAGACCAAAAAATTAGGTCATAAAAGATAGAAATGACAACTTTACAAAAATTGACAACTTTCAATAAATACTAAAGATCTGATCATGATGTTCCTGGACCACAATGCAATTAAGTAAAAATCTATAACCAAAGGCTAATTTAAAAGCACCCTTCTACTTAACTTATTGGTCACAAGAGAAAACATGAGAATTACAAAGTATTTTTAAAAGCAATTTCCAGAAGAATACATACAGTGTAACATTTATATAAAAGAGTTTAGAAACATGCGAAACAATACTAGATGTTGCCTATATATATGGTAACTGTTTAAAGAATCATATGGTAATCAAACACCATATTCAGGGCTGTTTCCTCTCAGGTGGAAGAATGGGAGCAGTCACTGGGAAGGAGTACACTGGATGCTTCATCTGTACTGATTTCTTAAGGTGCTAGGTAAGTTCATGAATATTTGTATTATTTTTTATACCTTTCTGTATAGCTTAAATATGCATACCAAATTTTAAAACAATAACACTAAAGAAATATTGTCAAAATCCTCAAACTCAGGAAAAAAATAACTTTTATAGGTGTTTATTAAAGTTTAAGATTTAGGAAAAGTACTTTCTTAATTATAGACACCTACTATCCACTCCACTCATATCCACCTATGTACCACACACATACATAAGCCAACAACAGTCAAAACCCATGTCCACACCACTAAAACTAAGGGTATTCCCATTAAAGTAAGGAAAAGACAAGGCTGCCATTTATCACCATTATCAGTTAATTGAACACTGTCATGAAAAAGCCATTTAATGTAATAGGGCAATGTAACAAGATAATAGGGGGAAAAGCTAGAATTATCTTTATAGCAGATAAAAAATTAAAGCCCTAGAAAAAGAGAAATCAACTGAAAAAAGTTTTAAAAGGGATCAACAATAACTAATACAAAGAAAAATATATAATTTATAATAGCAACAACAAAAATATCTAAAAAATTTTTTAAGTGTAGAAATTATAAGAAGAAAATTATAAATTCTCCAGGATATAGAATTTAAATGAGGTACAACAATAATTAAAAGGTACCAGAATGAAATGGAAGAGAAACTGATTTTTGTGTATGTATAGATAAGTGGGAATTTAGTTTATGATGTTTCAAATCAGTGGGAACAGATGAATTATTCGATAATGATACTGGGCCATCTTGCCAGACTTACAAAGGAAAAAAAACCCAACAACCTAGATTCTTATTTATTCAAATAAATTTCCGTTGGGTATAAGGTTTAAAATTAAAAAAAAAAAAGGAGAAAAGAAGAAATCTATTAAGTGCATGAGAATAATTTATAAAATTAAAAAAAATCATCTTGGAATAAGGAAGACATTTCCAACTAAACCTCTAAAGCCAGATTCAGATTTAACAATATAAAAGAACTTGAGATTGAATGTGCCATTTTAAGACCTTTTTTTCTCCGCTTCTCTTAAAAGCCATCCCAGACAACAGGGAAGCAAGTAACAAACACAAACTCTACCTTTGATAATAGGTCTGTAACCCTGAAACTTAGTTAATGAAGACAGGTAGCAGATAGAATGCTAAACCGAAATGGATGTGGAAGGAGATGCCAATGAGAAGCAAGCCAAATTATCCTGCAGAACCATGGAAAGATTCCTAATTGGAGATAAAAAGTATCCCAGAAAGTGGGGTGGGGATGAAGATAAGAGAACTCTAAAATTCTGAATAAACAACATTTGAACTGCCAGGTCTCCTACACAGTCAGGTAATCTGCCATGCCTTCTCCACTGTAGGATATGTGAGGACTGGTCTTTGGAGATACTCTAGTCTCAAGGAATCACACAGAGAAGGGTATGAACCTGAAGACAAGGACTAAGTTTATGTATCAAAATATTCCCTACCAAGCAATGTCTATACACAGATGTCTATATCTAGCTACCCGAGAAAGTATCTACAGATACTGACATTTGAAGGCTCCTCAATTAAGAAACTGTGTTTACAATGATTACCCTGCAGTTGAGCCCAAGAGGTAAGGAGCCCATGCACATATACTGCCTTATCTACTAGTTTAATAATAAATTAGTCTTTTAAATATGACTCACAGATGATACCATTTAAGAAAAGCTTCCAATAGCAACAAAAAGAGAAAAACAAAATTCAAAGGTAATACAGAAAACACAGACAAGAGAACATGAAAGGTACTACAATGCTACTTCAGAATAAGATATTACAGCCATGAAATAAGAAACCAGAGAATAAATAAAAGCTCGCAGAAATTAAAAAGAGCTGAAATAAAAGTGTTGATAGAAAAATTAAGGCTATCTCTCAGAAGATAGAACAAAGAAGCAAAGATGGGTAACGAGAGAGACAAGATTAGAGACTCAATTGCTGAAGAATCACAATACCAGTAACAGAGAACAAAGAAATCTGTTGAAAAGATAAAAAATGCCCAACATAACTTAAAAAAAAAAAAAAAAAAAAGAGGCACATCAAGTTACATTATTGTGAACTTCCAGAAGAACATCAGGGATATGAGTAAAGATTTTATTTATTTAAAGACTGATTTATTTGAGAGGAGAGAGAGCGCACGTGTGCATGCACATGCACAAGATGGGGAGGGGCAGAAGGAGATGCTTGGCTGCAGACTCCCTGCTGAGCGCAGAGCCTGAGGCCAAGCTTGATCTCAGGACTCAGGAGATCAGAGCTTAAGCAAAAACCAAGACCTGACACTTAACCGACTAAGCTACCCAGGAGCACCCCCCCCCCACCAAAGATTTTTAAATGCTTACAAAGGAGGAATAAAAAAATAAGTGGGTCAGACTGACAGATTTTGACAGATTTCTCAAAAATAACACCAGAAGCTAGTTAATAATGGAGCGATGCCTTCAAAATTCTTTTTTTTTTTTTTAAGATTTTATTTATTTATTTGACAGAGAGAGATCACAAGTAGGCAGAGAGGCAGGCACAGAGAGAGGAGGAAGCAGGCTCCCCGCTGAGCAGAGAGCCCGATGCGGGGCTCGATCCCAGGACCCTGGGATCATGACCTGAGCCGAAGGCAGAGGCTTTAACCCACTGAGCCACGTAGGCGCCCCTGCCTTCAAAATTCTAACTGAAAATGATTTTCAACATAATTCTATACCCAGTTTAAGAATCCTTCAACTCTTTATGGTAAAATAAAGACATGAGATTCATCAAGTCTCCAAATATTTACTATCAGATATACTTTCTCAGGAAGCTTTCAGGGGATACATTCCATTCAATAGAGAGACTTATGAAAAGGGAACACCTGGGGTCCAGGAAGACAGTGGGTCTAACTTAGGAGAGAAGTGAAAGGACATCCAGGATGGCAGAGAAGGGAAGTCTAAGGTAAGTGTGCCTTAAGGTTAGAGTGCAAACAGTTCATACTGGAATATGTAGAAAGAAGGCTCTATGAAGGATGTTTCCAAGAAATAAAAGAAAAGCAACAGATTGTCTAATTGTACAATTTTATTAGGGAACATTTACAGAGGAACATTTATTTAGCCTCCAAGTCAAGAAAAACTAAGTAAATGAAAAAGTATGGCACCTATTAGTTCTAGGCCAAAAAAAAAAAAAAAAAAAAAAGGAAAAAGTGATCACAGTACACTATTTGGTTGACTAACATAAAAAATGAAACACCAGTAATGAAGAGCATGAAAGCTATCATACACAAAAGAAAACAAGGTATAAATAATTTTTACCTTCTATCACAGTGTCCCTATAAAATAAGGGCTTATGTAAGTCTCCTCCAAGTAAAGAGCTGACAACCCCTGTGGATTAAGTATCTAAAAGAGCTAAGTCTTGAATGTTTTTCCCTGGTGCTGAGTCTGATCCATTCTAAAGTTTTTAAGCTCAAGAGAAACTAGCTATAGGATCAGGTTACGAATGGACAGTAAAGCAACTTACTTATCACCATCTTAAGGCATTCAGGATTGTCTTGAATAAGTGGTTCAGCTTGTACCGTTTTACTTAAGAAATTCTTTGATATAAGAGGAAACCTGACTTTAGCAAGGATATCAACCATAAATGGCTGGCGATTAGGTTCATCATATTTCAACCATCTGACCGCAGCATCATAAACCTAAGGAGGGAAAATAGCATAGTAAATAAAGTTCTTAGAAGGCAGCAACATTTCCAATTACCTATTTATTCTCATACTGAAGGTTGGGGGAGGATCTCATGAAGATACAACCACTTATTCCCAATATTTTATTCAGATATTTTCTTTCATTCCCAAATACTTGCCTGTACGTCACAATAGTTTACCCACTGCTCTAATGACTCTTGTAGATAGATATTTTTTAGAACTAATTACTACTATATAATGCAATCACAGGAGGATACTGGATTTATAATTTTTTAAAACAAAATGTAACTTCTTGGGGGCACCTGGGTGGCTCAGTGGGTTAAAGCCTCTGCCTTCGGCTCAGGTCATGATCTCAAGGTCCTGGGATGGAGCCTTGCATTGGGCTCTCTGCTCAGCAGGGAGCCTGCTTCTTCCCCTCTCTCTTTCTCTCTCTCTCTCTCTCTCTGCCTGCCTTTCTGCCTACTTGTGATCTCTGTCTGTCAAATAAATAAATAAAATCTTAAAAAAAAAAAGTAACTTCTTCTCAGAAGGAGCTGTGATGTACATTTCAATGGAAAGAAACCTACTGGTTAATGATAGTTTCAATACATGTTCACTCAGTACCAGGAACACAGACTAATTTCCTCAGGGGGAGGTTTCCACCCGAAGACATATGAAGGTCATCTATGACTTTATTTCAATACAATATTCCTAATTATGAATTGATACCTGTTTTCCAGAAACTTTACAATATAAAAATTCTATATTTTAAAGGATATTTATATAAAAATTGTTTTCAAAATAGTACTATAGCACTCATTTATTTTTACCAAACAAGTCCAAGTTTATCAACACAATTTGATTTATAAATTACTAGTTTTGTTTTGTTTTTAAAGTAGGTTCCATGCCCAGGGGTCCCCAGGGTGGCGCTGTCAGTTAAGCATCTGACTCTTGGTTATGAGCTCAAGCCGTGAGTTGGCTCTGCGTTTGGTGCAATCTACTTGAGATTCTCTCCCTCTGCTATTTCTGCTCATGTGCTCTCTCAAATAAATAAATATAAATAAATAAGTAAATAAATTAGGCTCCGTGCCTAATATGGGGCTTGAGCTCATAGCCCTGAGATCAAGAATCCCATGCTCTACCAACTGAGCCAGCCAGGTGCCCCACAAATCATGAGTTTAAACACACTGATAACATACCTTTTATTTCATAAACATAAAAGTCTGCCACATAATTGTTTGAGCTACTTAAGTTGGTTCAGTTAGAGTTAGTGTTAATATGGCCTAAGTTCTGATCTCCATATGAATTAATTTTTTATGGGAACTGGCCTATTTTTTTTAAAATAAATTTCTAACCTTGGGAAAGTTTTATATTTACAAAAAAGTTGCAAAGATAGTGCAGAGTCCTCATATACCCTGCACCCTGCTGTTAAAGTGTTATATTATTAGCAAGGTACTCTTCTTTTATATACAAATTTATTTTTTATTAACATATAATGTATTATTAGCCCCAGGGGTACAGGTCTGTGATTCACCAGGTTTACACACTTCACAGCACTCACCATAGTAGCAAGATACTCTTATCACAACTAACGAATCAATTATTAAGTACAGTCCATACTTCCAAAACTTTAGTTTTTTATCTAATTTTTCCCTCTGTCCCATAACCCATAAAAGATACCACATCTCATTACTCATTGTGTCACCTTAGGATCTTCTAGACTATCAGTTTCTCAGACTTTCCTTGTTTCCGATCACTTCGACAGTTTTGAGTGCTAGTCAGGTATTTTTTTAAAAATTTTTATTTAAAAAAATTTTTTTTTAAAGATTTTATTTATTTAACAGAGACAGAGCACAAGCAGACAGAGCAGTAGAAAGGGAGAAGCAGGTTCCCCGCTGAGCAGGAAGCCTTATGCAGTGCTCGATTCCAGGACCCTGAGATCATGACCTGAGCTGAAGGCAGATGCTCAACTGTCTGAGCCACCCAGGTGCCCCTGCTAGTCAGATATTTTGTAAAATGTCCTTCAATTTGGGTTTGTCTTATGTTTTCCTCATTAGACCAGAATTACAGTTTTTTCAGGGGAAGACCACAGAGGTGCCATGCCATTCTCCTTACTTTATATTAAGGGTACATAATATCAACATGACTTATCATTGACAATATTAACCTATACGTAGTGCTCATCAGGTCTGATGATCTGTGGATACCATTTGCCAGGTTTTCTTCAGACTAAAGTTATTTTTAAATTCCCTTTCCATAATGCATGTAAGTCAGTTAATTTTAGTCACGTAACTGAGAAGTGTGGTTGTGTTTGTTATTGTTGTTGTTTGCCTAGCCAGGTCTTCCAGGTCCAACTTGTCAATTTGCAGACTACTATAACCAATGACTCTGGGCCATTAAGACCAGACAAAAATGGCTCAGTGCAAATCTTTTATCTTTAGAAGAAAAGTAACTCAAGGCTTATGATCTTATAGTACCTCTATTAGTTTTCTATTGCTGATGTAACAAATTATCATAAATTTACTGCCTTCAAATACAGAGAAGGGTGTGGGACTGAAAAGAGGGATTAACTGAATGTCTGCATATGAAAGTGTTACTGTTGGACCACCTAGCTCCCAAATGCCTGTACCCAGCTTACTCCTCCAACAGTTTGAGAGTAAAAATGTGTCTCACTGGGTTAAAATCAGTGTGTCAGTAGGGTTGCCTGAGGATCTAGAGGAGAAAGCATTTCATTGCCTTTCCCAGCTGCCTGCATTCCTTGGCTTGTGGCCTCTTCCTCCCATCTTCAAAGCCAGCAATCACTGGCCAAGTCTTTCTTACATCCCATCACTCTGACATAGACTCTTCTGCCTCCCTTTCCACATTTAAGGAGTCTAGTGATTACACTGGGCCCACCTAGATAATTTCATCTCAAAGATCTTTAACTTACCACATCTGCAAAGTCCCACTTGCCATGTAAGGTACTTACTGGTTCTGGGGATTAGGATGTGGATATCTTTGGAGGGGAAGCATTATTCTTCCTACCATGGTATCCAATAAACTTTACTTCTACCAAATGGCCTACCTCTCAGACAGAAAGCCCTTGCAAGCACCCAAGATTTACTTTTCCTATGAAACGATTTTGGAATACTCTGTTTAAAGAACAGATTCTCTCCTAATATGATTCTTTTCCTTGTCATGTATCCAAACATGAAACATAAGAAATCAATAAGGATATTTTTACTAAGAAAAATGTGGGAAGACAATTTAGTCACCTGATCCTCTGCTCTCACAGTCAGAGTGTCCTGGTTGAGGAGATGTGTAACTCGCTTGACATCAAGTTGCAGAAATTCATCAGTTTTGTAAACTTCAGTAAAATGCTGATGAATAAAGTCATCTGCAGTTGCTTTCAATTCAGGACAATCCAGACACTCTGCTAGCACACTTATACCTAAATACAGAAGAAAGTAAATGAATAGAAAATGACTTAAAAAAACCCCAAACATATACTGAAGATAAAATATGACTCCAGAAATACGAGGCTGAATGAATTTCATAAATTTGGATCCTTTTCTATTCTATTGATTTGTTTATTCTTATGCCAATACCATACTGACTTAAGTATGGCTGATTTTGATACTTTGTAGGAAAAGCCCCTTCAATGTTTTTTCACATTTTTTCCTGGCTAGTGTCAAACATTTTCTCTTGTAAATAAATTTTAAAATAAGCTTATAACATTCTACTGTAAGAAAATTTTGATATGATTTTAAGTTCCACAGTGGTCTTAGGTTCATAGCAAAATTTAATAGGAAGTACAGAGTTCCCATATACTCCTGTTCCACAAACAACTAACTTCCTCCACTACCAATATCTCACACCAGGGTGGCAAAGTATTATTATTACTTTTTTTGGTAAAGAATTATTTTTAAAAAGATATTCATTGATGGATTCAATTTGGCTGACTGGGGTGGGGGGGGAAGTCTTGCTCCCAGGACCCTGTGACCATGACCGGAGGCGAAACCAAGAGCTGGAGGTTCAACTGACTAAGCCATCTAGATGCCCCTCATCTTTCCTTCTTGATTAGACTTGTTAGGTATTTTATACCATTCTTTGATATAATTAGCTTTTGTTTCTCTGGCCAATCTATAGTCTATTAGGGTTACTTTTCTATTTTATTAATTTTACTTTAAAAAGGTATTTTCTTCTACTTTCATTAGGTGTAAAATTTTTCCTTTCTACCTCTTCAAGTAGACTACTCTGTTGAGATAAAAATAAATGCATTTATTTGGAAGTATTTGAAGACTACAAATTCTCTTTATAGAAATACTTGAGTCACATTCCAAAGTTTTGATTTTTTCTGTGCTTATTGTCATATATTTCTATATAGCCTGTAAGTTCATTTTTAATACCTCTTTAAAAATTCTTTTTAAAATAATTCTTCAAGGGCGCCTGGGTGGCTCAGTCGTTAAGTGTCTGCCTTCGGCTCAGGTCATGATCCCAGGGTCCTGGGATCGAGCCCTGCACTGGGCTCCCTGCTCAGTGGGGAGCCTGCTTCTTCCTCTTCCACTCCCCCTGCTTGTGTTCCCTCTTTTACTGTCTCTCTCTCTCTCTCTGTCAAATAAATAAATAAATAAAATCTTTAAAAAAAATTTGTCTTAGCAATATGTCCAATGAATGTTTTAAAATGTAATTTTTTTTCTCCATTTGCATGTCGAATTCTACTACCTTCTAACTTCCTGTTACAGATAAATTAGTGTCATTCTGATTCTCTTTCTTTTCTAAGTAAACTTTTATATTAGTTATCTATTTCTTTTAGATTTTATTTGAGAGCATGTGAGCGAGCTCAGAGAAGGAGACTTCCAGCTGAGCAGAGAGCCCGATGCAGAGCTTGATCCCAGGACCCTGAGATCATGACCTGAGGCAAAGATAAATGCTTAACCAAGTGAGCCACCCAGGAACCCCAGTTATCTAGTGCTGCAGGAAAAACAACTCTAGAACTTAGTGGCTCAACATAACAGTAACGTATTATTTCTTGCAATTCTCTGAGTCAACTGGGTGGTTCTTTTGAACATGGCTGGTTTAGCTTATGTCTGTAGTTAGCTGGTTGCTCAGTTGGGAATGGATGGTCTAGACTGGCCTCATTTACTTATCTCGTAGTAAGTAAGCTGGCTGATACAGACATCAGCTAGTACAGCTCATCTGTGCCCCAAATGGCCTCTAATCTTTTCATGATGGCAAAAGAGTCCCCAGCAGCAAAGAAGGGCAAGCCCCAATACATAATCAATTTTTAAGCCTTTGCTCATGTCACATTTGCCAATGTCCCATGGGCTAAAGCAAGCTACATGGCCAAGCCTAGGCTACACAGGGAAAAAACTCTACCTCTTGATTGAAGGCTACAAAGTCACATATACAAAGACTCATACAGGGATGGAAAGAATTTGTGGCCAATTTCTGGCTAACCTACCATACTCTTTTTCTCTAAAAGCTTATAAATTCTTTTTATATTGGTTTTTTAAAAAATTATGGTAAAACATATGCAACATAAAACTTACCATTATTCACATTTAGTTTATTCACCATGTTGTGCCACCATCACCACTATCTAGTGCCAGAGCATTTTTATCACCCCAAAGAGAAGTTCTCTCCTGATTTTGGAGGCAAAAAATATCACTAGGATATATCTAGGAGAGGAATATCTTACTTCATCAGGTCTGGTACTTAGTATAATTTGGTGTGAAAAGTAAAGTTTTTTTTTTTGAGCTCAAATAAGTTTTATTACTTCTTTGATACTGCATTTCCTCCATCTGTTCCTTCTGAACTTCCTACTTCATATCAGTGTCCCTTCATCTTCCTTTCGTCTTTTATGTTTTCACTAATTATTTCCATTTCTTTGCATTTTTATTTTGTTATCATGAGGCAGTTTTCTCTGTTTGATCTTCTTTAGTCTGATTTTTAGGAATATCCATTCTATTTTTCAATTCAATGGAATTTCATGGAAAATCACAGCTTCCCCCCACCCCCTTCATATGCATCCTTTCTATCTTAAGTTCTCCTCTTCTTATATTAAATTTGTTTATAGGAAACATTCATTTTGGCTGTTTAGCTTGCTTTCTGTCCCTCAAACTACTGGGTTTCCTTTAATCTAGTATGATTTTTGCCCAGTTCCATCAGGTGTCATAAGTTCCTTAGGTATTCGGGGAAAACAGCTTGCTGGGGTCTTCTAGGCAGCAGAGAACTGACAAGTGGTAAAAACAAAGTGTTCTCTGATCAGCTCACAGGTAGAGCCACACTCAGGGCTAAACAGAAAGCAGGCTGAAGTAGTTCCTTTGGGTACTGAGAGTGTAGTTGGCTCAACTGGTTGGGCCACTATCTTTGCCCCACTTGATAGCCCGAGAGAATCAGGCTCTCTTTCAGGCTGCTAAGCTGTCCCTCCTCTCAGCTTTGAAAACAATGATGACAGAGGGATCCAGAAGTAAAACTCCTAAATGGTCTCCTCAGAAGCCCAAAGCCCAAGATGTGGTTAGCACAAACTTGCTCCAGGTTCCACAGTATGCTTTGTACCATCATATCCACTCCCTACTCTGTTTTTCTTTTAGTTGAAGTACCTGGTTGGAAATTTAGAGTGGTAGGGAGCTAGGGAAAAATATTTAAGTCATCATCTTCCAAAAACTTCTTTGAATTCCCTTTTTGTAATAAATTTTGTGAGAATATTTATATTAGGAGAAATAAGTAAAATCTCAGGAACGTTAATCTTATTGATGAATGGAGCCCCAAACTATGGCCCAGAGAAATAGACTCATCCCAGAATATCTCTATTGCACAGGTGAGATTAGAGACTGGTCTTTTTAAAGGATGTATTTATTTATTTGAGAGAGGGAGAGAGACAAATGTACAAGCAGGGAGAGGAACAGAGGGAGAGGGATAAGCAGACTCTGTGTTGAGTGTGGGGCCCAACATGGGGCTCACTCTCAAGACCCCAATATCATGACCTGAGCTGAGATCAAAAGTTGAATGCTTAACTGACCGAGCCACCCATGTGCCCACACAGCAGTCCCTTAATTAGTATCTTACTTTATAGTCTAGGATTTTTAGGTCTTCTAGTAAACAACAGCTAGCATAACTGACAATGTGAAGAGGCAACATAGTGTAGTAGTTGAGAACAAGATTACTTAAATTCCAACCTCAGCACCTCCACATACTAGCTATAAGACCTCAGGCAATATATACAACCCTAGTTTTCTCATTCAAGACGGACTGTAGCAATCTTAAGTGCTTCAACAAAGGTGAACACTCATACTTATGATATCATATAACACACCACCACCAGATGCAATTCTTACTCTTCATTCCAGATACATAAAAAATCATTGTTAAAGCTATTTTATATTTTAGAAAATGTAGTACAGTTTTTTTTTTGTTGCTATTGTTGTTGTTTTTTTGTAGTACAGTTTTTAATGGGCTTCTTGAGGCCTAGATTAATAGGCACCTCCTTAAGCATCTCTTAAAATGTATTTTGAGCATATTTTCTAGTGGACAATGTCTTTAAAATTAAATGAAGATACTTATGAACACACTTTTTAAAATTAAAATACACATTAAAGTTTGGTTTTTAGTAGGAATCTGATTTCTTACCAAGACAATTTGAAGCATCAACTTGTTCTTTCAAAAAATCAACACACATTTTCTTCACAGGTTCAATCTGGTACTGGTTTGCTGCATCTAACAAGGACTGAACGTTGTTGCTATTCACAGAAATTCTGCAAAGAAGTTAAAGTGAATATTAATCTCCTACAATTTATTATTTAAATAATGCTATTGTAAAACATATCCTATTAGCCCCCAAAATTAAACAGAAAATTAAACTTTTCAGTCCTTGCATCAGTATGGCATAGGTTCCTCAAACTTCCCCATCCTTGTAGTTTTTCATGTTGAAGAATTTGGAGCATACCAATTTGTCACCACAATGCTCCAATGTGGTAGATGCCAACCATACTTCTCTATAATGTAAATGATCCTTCTTAACTTACCTAGCAGTATAAGCAAATTCCACAAGTTGTTCGATAATGTCTGGTTCAGCATCTTTGAGTTCAACTTCAAAGGACTTTGATTCAAGCATGTTAGCTAAAATGAAGAGAAGAAATATAAATGTCACGAGTACTATTATTAGTTTAACTGAGGGCCAGATCATTCCAGGTCATGTTAAATATGGAAAAGAATAATAGGACAGAGATTTCTCTGGAAAAAATATACCCAGAAAGCCCAACATTCCTATAATAAATGCAAATTAATTCTCCACACTTGAAAAGTACCTTAAATTAAAATAAGCTAGGAAATTAGTGAATTAGTGAATTTCTTAAAAAAAAAAAAAAAAAGCCAAGTAAACATATACATAAAATAGTCTTAGTATTCCCCCAAGTCCTAAAATACTTTAGTAGCACTCTTCTAAGTTGCTATGAGCAAAACTACATCTGATGTAGCTGGCAAACATCTACAAGAACAATGACAATTACAGCAATGCAACTGCTATAATAAATATAGCTATAGCTAACAAAGCTCTCATTCTCTACCAAAAACCTTATAGGTAGCCATAGCACCAAAGAGAAAACTTGAGGCAGATATACTACATAACCTGATCAAACTCATAAAATAATACTAAACAGAGGAACCAGGACTTGGATCCAGTTAACTTTAAATCTAGAGTTCTTTCTAGTATGGTATTTCATACTTCATTTTTATTTAGTTTAACTTGCTAGACAAATTATCCTAAACATTTATTTTCTTCTTTGCCTTTCCATCTAAGGTCAAGAAGAAAACTGGGCATTCAAGTAGAAACTGTACCTTCATCCATAAAAGCTTTGGGCCTGTAAGGCTGATGAAAGGACATTTTTCTTTTGCTCAATCCTCACCACAACCACTTTTCAATCGCTTCATTGTTTTATGGCCTTAATTTCTTAAGTGCTTTAAAAACTAGGAAGATATTTTCATTTAGACTCCACCTCATTCTCATGGAAAAAATATTATGTTTTACTTTAATATACTTACTTGTGAACATTAAGTTAAAAAAATGACTGGCTGCTGCAAGAACAACTCGATGAGCAGGTATCTTTCTTTCCTGGACCATAAGGATCACATCACATAACGTTTTCTAGTAAAGAGAGAAATAAATGAAATTAAAAGGGGTGCACTGGGCCTGGCTTAGCAAACATACAAAACCGGTGCTTGACAAATGCTTCATCTCTATTTTCTATTCAAATCCAGTCTTTGTCCAGCACAGAATCTGTTCCTCAGACACATTTAGAAGAGATGTAGAGTTGCTATCATGATTTGCTGTATCAAAATATGGCACTGGCTTCCCTTAAAAAAGTAGTCTACTAATCCTTTAGAAAAACCAATTTTTTTCTGACACAAAATGTAAGGTATTTCTCATGGTGATATTTTATGGAGATTTTAAATGAAGTAAGAGCAATGTCCTTGATGGTTTTTCAAACATAGCAATCTGGGTTTTTAAAAAATTATCTATACTTGGTAAGACCCAAAGTGCACACTGTATTTCCCAAGAAAGTAGCTTACACAGCTTTAACTTGAAACAAAAACAATTCAGAATGCAGACTGGACAAACCCAATGACCACTTAGCACTCTTTCCTTAGTAACACTTCTCTCAAATGTATGTCTGATAGGAGCTGGATAGCAACTGCTTTTTAAATTGTGATTTCTGACCAAGGCCAAAATGGTGTCACTCTAGGTTGTCGAAAGAAGGCAGAGTTAGATTAAATATTTACAATGCTGTAGAAATAAATAGTAATGAAAAAAATTAAGGTTTACTGGGACACTTAAAATGAATTTCAAGGAGAAAGAATATCTTTATTGTCAAACAAAATTTCAATTTCTTAATGACGTTGAAGATCAAATGTACAGGTTAGTCTCAGAGAAAATCTGGAGATTGTGATACGTTAGGAACTCTTTTAGCACTGGGAATATGAGGCAAATAATACTTTTAGAATAAAAAAAATTCTATCACATTTTGTAAATTTTAAGGATTTACTAAACTATTAATACAGATCACCTGGGTGTCTCAGTTGGTTAAGTGTCTGCTTTCGGCTCAGGTTATGACCCGGGGTCCTGGGCTGGAGTTCCGCAACAGGCTCCCTGCTCAGCAGGGAGTCTGCTTCTCCCTCCACCCCCATCCCTCCCATCTGCTTGTGCTCTTACTCTCTCTCTCAAATAAATAAATAAAATCTTAAAAAAAGAAACTATAATTTCTGATAGGTAAGTCACTATATTCTACTTTATTAATCCATGAATAAAAATCCAAGTGAGATGGTAATGCTCAGTACAAGAAAGGAAATGGGCTTTATTTTTATTTTATAGTGGGCTAAAAGATGAACATATTTCAGTTTTACTGCTATGTTAAGATTTTTTTTATAAGGCCTACAGACTACTGCTTAGATATTATATTCAGATTACTTATGGTTAAAGCCATTGTTATCCCAACAGTGTCTCAAATTTTTCAATTTTTATTTCCTTTGATTTGGTGGGGGAGGTACAGAATAGGCATAGTTCTTAGGTGACTTTGCCACATACCATACCAAAAATACCAGGTAGCAAAACCAGGTCAACTATTTGCTTACCACAAAACAAGCTGATCTAGTTGCTCAAGAGAAAGAAAGAGAAAAAAAGGTGGAAAGAAAAGAAGGAAAGAAGGGAGAAAAAAAATCTGGACAGAAGAACAAGAAAGTCAGATAAGGGAGGAGTCTATGGCTGTTGACAGGAAGTTCCAGAAGATGTACAACTATACTGAAAGGCAGCGAAAAACCTTTCCAAAATATATACTCAGTAATAGTGAGTTTTAGTGGCATGGATTTACAGGCACTTTAGGAAGTTAAAGAAATCAGAGCGTTCTCTGCACAGCAATTTAGTGCTAAGAATAATCTCCAGCTGGATATTAATGTTATGGAAGGAATGGATGGAACCTTTTGTATCCAAATGGTACATCTGACTGTACTATGTAGACTAACAGGTTTCAAAAGAGATGGGACTGACTTAAAGAAAGAGGTTCCACTCAGGAAGAGTCTATCTGCAGACAGAAAATGGGAAGAGAAAGAGATCTGGGTTACACTGGAGAATATGAAAGGTAACAAGTCCTATGTGAAATGAAGAGAAACTTAAACAAAAACTACCCTTTGGACAATATATGTTCACTGGATAAAATAAGAAAAAAATACATAAACCCTGGCAATTTGTTTATATCCACCTATATTTGTTATCTTTATATTTGTTATTTTCAGCTTTTGAATTTTTAGTCTCTTATATATTGCACAGATTTGTGTGACTTAATCTGAAATTCTCACCATCTAAAATTACTTTTAGTAGGATTTAGGTCCTTCATATTTATTACTGATAACTCATGTTTCATTTTACAGAGGCCATATTCTTTTACATAATTTATTATGCTTCCTTGCTGTCTTCTTTCTTCTCTAACTACCAGGTGGTATTTTAATCCCATTTTCTTTGTACTTGTGCACTTTTTTCTTCTTTTAGGGACTTACTTATAGATCTGTCAAATATCTGCAAAGTGAATTCAGCAGGGTTATTAGTCAAACATTGTTCTAGGAATGCAAGGAGCATTCAAGAACAGTAATTCTTTAACATAATTCAGGATATTCATAGGTTAAAAGAGAAAAACTTCACATAGAAAACCTTCAATAGAAGGCAAAATTAAAAATTCATTTCCTTGTATACTCTTTAATAAAGTAAATGATATATCTGTACGCCAAAGGTGATTCAACTCAAAAGCAAACATCACATTTAATGGTGACACAAAAGAAGCATTCTCATTTAAGTTTGAAACAGAGACACATATGCTGTTACTACTATTAATCAATTATTGTTCTGAAAATTTTAGCCAAATTGAAAATTGTCTCTGCCCCAGACAACTTACCAATCTTTAAGTTTAGCAAGCACCTGTAGCCCTCTTGATGAACCAAACCTTTCTTTGTATGGGAACCAGAGCACCAATATGCAACCTTCAAGTACTGCTATAATGTCTGTCTGTAGCTGGTACCATCGAGTCTGCACACAGTCAAGAAGTGTTACAGACCACTGTGCTCCCTTTTTACTGATTAACTGCCCTAAAGTGCTTTTAAAATCTTTGGGCCAGGTAAAAACCTCAGTTGGTATTTAGACAAAAGTCTCCCTTCTCCCCAGGTGGCCAGCCTTCTGGATAAAGGTCATATTCCTTTCCAATCAAAATTGGTCTCTTAAGTATTGGCTTTTGAGCAATGAGCAGCTGAACTTGGGTTTTTAGGTAACAAAATCAGGAAGAAAATAAAGATAAATAAACTTAACACTTATAGAACTAAATAAAAAAGTCAGTAAGATGGCTAGACAGAAATAAGATAAATATGAAAAAGCAATTAGCTAACCTATATGTTAGCAGTAAGCCATAAAGAAACACAAATGAGGGGAAAAAAACATAACAACCTGGAATGGCAGCAACAAAATAATTAAATGTTGAGAAATAAACGTAAGAAATGTAAGGGATCTACATTAAACAGGAATTTAATATATGATAAAGATACTATTTCAAAAATGTGGCCAGAAGGTGGAGCACAGGTAATGTTCAGGGCAGTGAAACTACTTCCTCTGATACTGTAACAGGACACATTTATAGTACACAACTGTCAACATCCACAGAATGTACAACACAGAGAATAAACCTTAATGTAAACTGCAGTCAATAATAATGTAACAAAATACTGGCTCATCAATTTTAGTAAATGTATCATACTTGTGTTAGCAAGATGTTAACAGTAGGGGAAACTGGGAGGGGGAGAGGGAAAATGGAAAACTGTACTTTCTGCTCTATTTTTTGGTAAACCTAAAACTATTCTAAAAAGCAAAGTCTACTAATTTTAAAAAAAGTGATAAGAGAATGGATAATTGAAAAAATGGTATTAGTATAACTGTTACCCATTGAGGGGAAACAGATTTCTCTCTCATAATATAGTGTCTCTTCTCTGGGGCAAGTTAAGTTCTGGGAAGGAAGGTTCAGTCCTTTTCTCACTGTCACTTGTGGAAGAGGTTCTATAGGATAAGCAAGAATAAAATAGAGGTTACTGACCACACACACACTGCTAGGCCTTCTGGTTCATTTTCTTCTGTAAGTCTGCCCCAAAGTGGAACATAACTCATCTCAAATGTTTGGAACCAACAGTGGAAGAGGGCTGCTGAAATCCATTATGCAGAGACATTCAATGCACTGAAGACAAGGAGAAACTTAGGTGATGCTTTAGTGCCTACAGATACTAGTCCTTTGGTTGGGAAAGATAGCACTTCAAAACAGGCAGTCATTTCAGGCAAGTGTTGGTAGAATGACCTGTTCTCTTTATGTGTTTGCCAGGTAGGACTGCAAATGGCAGTAGTCTCCATGTAAGCTCCACAGCATTGTATAAGGTTCTAACTTTTAACAATATGTGCTGGCATTACTAGGAGGCATGCAGCTAATTCTATTCCCAAACTGTATCCTTCATCATATCCCAAGAAGAGGACTGAGGAATGACTAACCTTTGGATTTATGTAGCTTGTCAACAAGGTTCTGCAATCAGTCCTGCCCAGCATGATTTCAAGTTGGCCCTGGATATAAATCCCTGAGTAGACTCTAGTAGATTCAACTATAGTTGGGTGATGGATTTAAATCACTGAAAAGATAAAGGGAAATGGAGCCCTTATTATATGGGGGTAAATCATCTTCTTCGATTGAGATACTAAGAAAGCCTCAACAAAGCCATAATAAACTAAGAGAAAAATTAAAAAGGCCTTAGGAGGGGTGTCTGGGTGACTCAGTGGGTTAAAGCCTCTGCCTTCAGCTCAGGTCATGATCCCAGGGTCCTGGGATCGAGCCCCACATCGGGCTCTTTGCTAGGCAGGGAGCCTGCTTCCTCCTCTCTCTCTCTCTCTGCCTGCCTCTCTGCCTGCTTGTGATCTCTGTCTGTCAAATAAATAAATAAAATCTTAAAAAAGAAAAAAAAGGCCTTAGGAATCTTATCTGCTCAGAAATCAAGAAAAATAGCACTGGATTTAAACATACATAATCACAGTAAGGCACATGGGAAAGTAAAAGAAAAACGTGAGATACCCAGATTAAT